ATTTTAAACCATGGCAAACACGCGATACCAGGAGCGCTTCGCCATGTACGCGTGACATCATGTCGACGTCTGTGCGTGACACATCGTCCGTCCGTGGCCACGTCGAAAGTGACGGTGCACCCCTCGGCGCGTCGAGGAGTGTCAACGGAACGAGACCCCGATCTACCGGTCCACGACAACGCGGATGCAGGATCGCATAGACCGCGTTCTCGCGATATCGCGACTCCATGGATCGATCACGCGCGAAAGACTCGCCGTGATCTGGGAATGTCCCGTCGCGGATAATCGTCGATCATCGAGCGACGTTGCTGCCGGGATGGACGGTAAGTCGCGGATCATTAGCGGCGCGGACGCGCGTCGGCTGTCGCGTGCTGGCACGCCAATTTCGTTGGCCCAAGGTCCTCTATGTCGGCGGCCGCGCCGCGCCGCGCCGGTGTCAAGGGTGTAGTCACGTGTGCAATTTGAATTGCTAAAGAGACCTCGATTATTGATAATTAAAATACGATGCGAGAGACGGGGATTTATTATCGGCGAGGGAAACGCTTGAGACAAGCGTGAAGTTAGTGCATCGTCTGTTCTGTCTTGCAAACCGTGAAGCTCAAAAACTTTTGTCAAAAACAATTGCTTTTTAAAAAAATTACGTGAATGGAGAATAAATAAAAAGTTTGATAGAAAATCCGATACAACGTATTTTGCTCATTGCTCCCTAAGAATCTTGAAATCTACAATCGACTTCTAAATACGTCAATTGCATTTTTGATACAGAAGAAATAAGTATAGTACTACATCTGTATGATGCGCACGCAGTAATTCCCTTAACAGTGTATATCTTTATAACTTTGTTTCTAGAATTTGTAGAATGTTTCTCGTGTTTTACGTGGATTTTATAATTTTTGTATACTGTTCGATAAATCTCGAATTGATGTAAATCTGAATATAAGATCGAAGGCAATTACGCAATAACGCTGAACACATATGGTCGCGTTCGTTTATTTATCTCGTCGCGATATGAAATTTTTTTTATACGCCCATAACAATGAGCGGGCAGTTTCATGATGGTGAAGGTAGAGCGAGATAAAGAGATGCCACGGGCTAGTGTCACTCGAATTAAGGGCTATAAATGAGAAGAATGCGCGGGGGTGTAACACACGCAGAGATGGAAAAGGGATTCTTTTATGGCCCTTTTACCTCGCCTCCTGTTCCTGCATCGACTGTACAGCAGCTTTTCCTTCGTTCCCTCTCTTCCCTTGTTCTCACTTTCCGCTTCTCCGCGCCATCCCTTGATGTATTAAAGGGGCACGTGAAATATTCCGGAGGCATTTTCATTACCGTCCTCTCTGGGAATGCACGCAGGTTGATAAGCCTTTCTACACGAGGGCGTAGGGCAAAGCGGATTGCGAAGAGGGAAGTCGAATGTATTCGGTAGCCAGTGTGTTCTTTTTTTCACTCTTTTTTTCACCTCAGGAAGAATATTGCATTATTTTTATTAAATATACGCATAACACATACATATATACGCGCTCTTTTCTGCGTTATAATTAAAAAAATGTCATATTTCGCAGCGTGGGCATTTGCTGTAAAATGCTCATCGAATGTAAAATTAATCCCGACAGTTGTTAATAGTTGGTTTTCATCCTGGCTATTCCATTTAAATTGGCTTTTATCCGAAGTGAGTAAATAACGAAGCGCAACGAGTACAAATTATATATAAATAATTTAGATTGGATTTTGTGTGATAATTGTATGATATTTATGACGACATTGTAATTAACATTGTTAATTACAATGAATGGATAAATAAAATTGCACTTATTCTCATTTTCTCTCTGTCATAACTCATCTCTCTGTCATCTCTCTCTTAATTTTATATATATATATATATATATATGCACAGTCTTTCGGAAGTAAAGAAATCTTGTAACAGTAATGCATGATGTATCCTATAACTTTTTTAATATGTATAATTACTCACGTGCTCTTTAATTATACGAGTTTAAATGTATAATTAACTTAATGATCTACGTGGTAAATTGTTTAGAATATAATTACAATCAGAAATCACTTCCGTGCTGTCTACTACCGTTTATATTTTTAAAGTTATTAAATAAAAAAAAGTTTAATTTTTTTGTGCCTATTAAACTAATATATCTTTAATTGAAATATTATATTATTTTTTATAATATTTTGTTAAACTACAGTATTAAACAGATTTGCATCTGATCTTTGCAATAGAAAGCAAATATTCCTATACAAAATTATTAAAAAAATTTGTAATCCCGTGACATATGAAACAGGCGTGTAACTGTCTTAAAATCGCGTCCATGATCCAATTCGCCCAAGCAAGGTTACCATGGTTCGTTACATCACCGATATCACGTGATATCGGGCATTTTAAAGCGCCACCGATATTCCGAAATTATATGGCAGCATAAGCTGTGGGAGTTAGCAGTCGTTGGATTTTGTGCAAATGGGCTCTCAGCAGGCCACTTTACTTTTTTTCAGGCGCAATTGAATCCGCCGGCACTCACGGCAGTCCTCCAGTTCAGTAGTTGACAAGGTAATTCCAGTAATTCCCTGAATGCACGGTATTTTATAAATTCCTTGCGATCCGGGTACTTGCGATCCGTATACTTGCGATCCGTGTATTTAGCATATTGAGTCATTTCCATAAAAAGCTATCGCATGATCTCTGATTAGTAGATTATTGGACCGTAAGTGAGAAACGAGGTAATGATCACTTTTACGCTAATTTTTTCATCGGTAGAATAGAAAAATGCTATTTATGTTATAATATATTTAATTTAAGAATTTCTACAAATCAAATTAAATAAATGTGAATAATACTATTAATCAATGAGCAATATATTGTAAGTAATTCTAGCTCCACTTCTGTTTGTGGGAGATTTTATAAATAATTTTATGAAATTGAAGCGGGGGGTACTCTTTAAGTGTAATTTTATATTTGCTGTACTGCTATTTAAACTCATTTTGAAAGTATATATTGTATATTCCCAAATAATATCCACAGAAAAGAGTTGTACTGCTTTTGAAAAAATTCGTGCATTCTTTCATGCACGACATTAATGGACGTTAAATGTCGTGAGGAACTTTATTGATGGGTCCATTCTGCCCTGACAAAATTGTACAAAAATTCGACGCGACGAGAGTGCCTATACCTGGCGATATATCTGATAGAATTTATGAACCGTAATATATATTTTTCTCTCAAGAGAAGTGAAAATAATTGCGTGAAACAAATGTAATCGTTATAATAAATTAATCGTTATAATCAACTAGTCAGAAATTATACAATTCACTTTTGTTCGTGCTTTTACGAAATGAGAAGCAGAAAATTATCACGGAGCAGAAGAAAGAGCTGGAAAAAGAAATGTAGAATATACGTATGCAATGCCGTCACATCTTTAGTTAATCGATCGAGGGCGATCATGCGGTAAGAAAAGTAAGGATCTTTTTCAGTTAATTTAATAGGACACGTTTCTGTGCCATTACCTGTTGCGTTCACCATTATTAGGTGTGCCAGCGTGACTTCGACGAAGAAAAATGACGACTGTGTCATCTGGAGGTAGACATTTCTTATTTATCTTTGTGCCATTACATTTATCTCATTCCTATTTGACACGTTTATGGTAACAAATTTTTGAAAGAGGAGCTAAATGTTTGAGAACGTATTATTAGTTATTAACTATTTTAGTTTACATATTATAATCTAGATGAAAAATTTGTTATTACTAATGTATTAACATTATTTTGTTAATAAATGTATATAATATGTGTATTATGATTTAGTAAATTGTATTTTAATTATTCGAACTAAATTAGTTACTGAAGCATTATCCGCAAGTTGAATATTTTCTTGATAAAGGAATCATATTTACAATTAGCAGAGTAGCACCATACTTTTAAAATACAAAATCTCAACGAATTTTAAAAGAAATTACATCGTTATTTTTTAATAATTTCTGAGGAAATAATTGGTAATGGTTTATGCGGTCAATCTTGTGCAGAATCGTAAGATACGCATTTATTCGAAACGATTATTCACAATTAATTCATGTGACATAGTTCAAAATTGTTAGCGTATATCGAGTTTTACTTTTTAGTTCGTTTTATTTAATTATGCACGTATAACACTCGTCGATATGTGTCACACATTTGCCCCGTGGCAGTTCGTAATTATCACATATTATTTTACGGACTAAACTGTTAATTATTTAGTCGGAGAGAAACCTTTTCGGCGTGTATAAAGTTAATACAACGGTCTCTTTTATGACCGCGTATTAATATTGAAATTTCGATCGTGTCGATTTATTTAGAGACACATGCATACCGGTATGCATTTCGATTCAATTTCAGATTTTATCATATTAATTTCCGTATCAAGCTGTCGCGTGCCTAATTTATTCGCGTAAATTTTATTTCTCTATTCATCGCCGTCGAGTTTATAATTACATTCGCATCCTCTACATTCGGAAATGAAGTATATTCAAATGAAGGTATCGTAAACACGAGAGTGTTTCGGATGGTTATTAAGTTGCTGGAGAGATATTTGTCATTTTTTAAATTAAAACTAAATTAAAGCGAAAGAAAGAGAGCGAGGGAGAGAGCTTTGGATACATATTGCAGTACTTGGGATAATTCATCAGGATCATTTCTCACCCAAATGGTGCACCAAATGTCTAATAGAACACCGGGCAGGAAGGACTCCGCATTAGCGAAGTTTCGTGCTAATTGTACGTAATTAATTATATCATTATTTCGCCGATTAATCTAAGTCGTGCTCACCACGGCGGTAGAGGATCATATTTTTCCTCGCAATGTACGGTATTCTTCGTCGCAACTGCTGCACAAGAACGATCAATCTAGGGAGATATGATTTCATTTCTTTCCTCTCTTTTTTTTTCGAAAGACAGAAAACGACGTTACGTACAAAGAAGGAGAAAAATGTTGCCTTCCCGGCAAGATGAAAATTGCTGAGAATATATTGCGGGAATATTTTCAGGTTTTACCGTGGGAAAAACCGTTGCAGCAACGATTTAACATTTGAAAACAATTTCGAAACTTTTTGTACATATTCGTGCATCGAATGTTTCGAAGAGCATAGAGGCGTATTTTGAAAAATTTGAAATTGATGACGACATGCCGGAAATTCATGAACAGCAACACATGGAATGTCTGTTTATTTTATTCGTTCGAAATCAAATCACGGATGGCGCAGTTACATAAAAGATGGGCTATTTTTCTAGCTTTAACTGTTTCTCTTATGTGGAAGACTAATCAATTGATTAATCAAGAAATTGAAGAA